AGTTAGTTGTTGTTGCCCGTGACTGATGACTTGTGTAAGAGGGGATTTCTATGGAGTGTTGTATGCTTGAGAACTACGTTGGGAAACAGCCAGTTGTGGTTGCCTGTGAATGATGACTGTGTAAAAGGGGATTTCTATAAAGTGTGCTTTGCTTGAGAACTTTGTGCTTTGAGTTAAATTGAATAATAGAACTTCAGAACAACTTTATAATTTCAAAAGATTGGAGGAAAAACTTTTATGTGGTTCTCTCATCTTCTAGTTCTCATTCAGCAGATGACAAGTGGGTAAGATCCGAACTTTGTTTGATTGGGATGATAGATATTTCCTAGTTAAATTATAAATCAGGTATTCATAGTTAAAAAAAATGGTTAAATATTTTATGTAAAAGTTATGAATTTTATAATGATTAACATAAGATGGATTGATAAAAAATAAAAAAAAAAAGAAAAAAAAAGAAAAAAAAAAAACAACAACAACAGCATAAATTAAAAAGAAGAAGAAAACCATGCATGAGTAGCTAGGGAAACAATATCAGTTAGAACCCACCAAGTAATTTAAAGAGAAGCTTACGGATCTTTCTTCTAGCGAATTCATTGATTCCAAATTTACTCAAATTGCTTTTATAAACAGCAGCAGTCTTCCCTGGATCTACAGTCACCCTGCATCAAATGGATAATAAGTAATTCTTGTTGTACCCATTCCAAAGCAACATGCACATACCTGACCAAAAAATGCACTCACCCAATTTTTGACACTCCCTCGTTGTAACTAATAACATAACTCTTTGGAATTAAAAGATCTGCTTATATGATGGATTTTTTTTAATATGTGCTTTAAATATGTATTGAACTTTTTTATCATTAATATATATAATAAAAATAGATATTAATTTTATCAATTGTCTAATAAGAAACATTTATATTGTATAAGTGCTAAAATTAATATTGGTTTTTTTGCTTTTTCTAGTAAATTAATGTTTAAAAGGTATATATATTCTACTCTTAACTTATACATTAAGAGAATAAGTTAAACAAACATTTGAACTAAATAGCATGCCAAAAGGAGAAAATAAAATTTCTGTAATTACTTACCACATTATCTAGGCTATAGTTATAGTCACCATTAAATTTCTTAAAACCACCAAAATTATCAAATTTTTATCTTAATTTGACAATTAAAA